GCTCAGCAAGTTTATCTGCGAACTTTGCGCTAAAGAGATGCAGATGAGCAAGTCGAAGGTGTTCGGACCGAATTCGAAGTACAATCCCTCTTCTTGCGTGAACTGTTGCGCGAACTGGAACGCGGACACGAACGGTATTGAAATGTCTATCGAAGGGATGAAAATGTACACACGCCTCTTCGCGGAATGCGTGGTGGCAATCCCTGACCTTCAAAACCTCATGGTGGACGTCAACAACATCCAGGCCATGACCACGATCATACGGGAGCTCGTGTACTCAAGGCTGAAGAAGGAGCTTTCTCACGTGGGATTCGTGAGCATGACCGTGGATCAAGCAGCGCAGTTCTACAACAACGGTCACGGGAAGCAATTATTCGCATCCCGGGATGTGTTCGTGTGCAAGAATTCCGAGGGAGTCGAGGAGAGGATGTCTATCTTCCTGATAGGCAAGGATCTTGGCAATGTGGCATATTCGTCCTGGATCAAGAGTGTGCTCGACCAAGGGACGATGTATGAACTCCTGGGACAAACCACGAACGAGGAATCCTTGGGAGACGTCGTCGAGATGGTGTTGGGATTCTTTGAGGTGATGTCGTACTTTCAGCACGAACTGCCGCTGTGGAAGGATGCATGGAAGATCAAGAGGGAGTTCGAGCAGTCAATAGTGCGGCACATCGCCGGGAATGTGACCCACACGACGGGCCAGAACAGAAAGCGGAACAAACCGTCCGCACAGCTCGGCGTGCCCACGAAGGAGGTGCTTGACATCATGAACAAGGTCAAGCCCAGACATCCACGATCCCTGATCACCGAGCCCTCTGCACAAGGTTCCAAGAGAAAGGCCACGGAGGGCGAAGATGAGGGTCTTGGTCAAGCACCAGACCCGAGTCGAAGTTCTCAGCCCAATGCTGAGAAGGAAGACAAGAAGCAGCGAGTGATCGACGGGCGGAGAGCGGCACTAGGATTCCTGGAGTCAATGGAGAAGTGCATGGGAGATATGGGGATCTGCAAGAAGTGCGCAAACCTGGCCCACGACGGCGACTGCAAGGACATTGAGGAGGCTGCTGGAAATGAGAAGGCGATGAAGGTGCTCCGTGAGCTACTCAGCAGTGACCCTGTTTCATCTGATGAAGACATGGGGGATACGGAGGAACCGTCCTCATCAACGTCCAAGGAAAGAAAGAAAGGGGGACAAGCAGGGAAAGAAACAATTGAGATGTACAGCTACACTATTAATTTGGTGGAGATGGCTGACACGGCTGAGGGAGGAGAGCTACAATGTGGTGGCGTCGACCTCACCTACAACCCGTGCGGGGACAACAGGACATTCAAGAAGACGCTTGAGATGGGATGCGACACCATCCCGTGCTACATCCCGAAGTATGGCGATGTGAGTGATGTGCACTTGCCATGGGCGTATGCGTCCATCGTTGACCCCAAATACTTTCCCAAAGGTGCAATCCTTGAGCAAGTGGACGTGATGCAACTTGGCAAGAGTGTCAACTTCTGCATTGCTCCTTTCGACGGTGCTCCACTATGCAGGATTGGTGATGATCGCTCGGTATTTACTACAAGGGACCAAGCAAACCAGCTATCTCACGACCTATGCAGAGTCCTTCGACACAAGATCGGCAATTGCCGAGGAAGTGCTTTCAGGTGCGACGAGGGTGGATGGGTCGACATTGATGCTGTCATTGACGACCGGAACAACGACATATTCCCACCATACACCACGAGAGCGAAACGATACATGGGCATCATGGAGGTGATCAAGTGGCAGGAATCCGGAAGCAGAAAATCGAGATTCCAGGTTTTGGCAGCAAGGTTTCCGAGCATCATGAACCCGAACGACACGAGGGCAGCCAGGGAGGAAATGACCGAAGCTGGCGTGGATCGGGACGACATCGACAGGATGTTCAACAGATGCGATGGATGGTACAGACCTTGGTGCATCCGAGTCACAACCGGTCACAGTGATTTTGGATTCATGAGCTCATCCGCACTGGCGAATAGGTATTCCGCAAGAATGGGTGATTCTCTCGGAGGAGCATTCCATGTGACGTATGTGGAAAACCTGCCAAGCATCGTACGCTGTGGGTTAGTCCCCGGCGGAATCGATGGCGGCAACAGGCTAGCACTGCACTTCGGGGCGTTTGCTCCATGGGATGAGATGAACGTGGCGACGAAGACAACGCTACGAACGTGAGGAGAGGGGATCCGATTGCGATCATCTATATTCCCAGTGCAACCCTCGCGCGGTATGGGGCTGGAGTCGCGGCTAATGGGACTTTCATGGTCTTTGACGTGATCCCGTTCTATGAGGTCAAGTCCATTTGGATTGGCAAAAGCAACGGAGGGAAGCGCCTGGAGTACGCTGACATCAAGAGGGCGTACTCGAAGTGTGTGGAGAACGAGATCTGCCCTGGCTTTGTCAACTCTTCCCAAGAGTCGGCTGCGATGTTCCTCCAGAACGTCGCAAAGATCAGCGAGAGGATGCCGGAGACTGAGACAGGTGCCGATAATCTGCACTACATCGTTGACATGGTTAATCGTGCCTGCGAACTCTATCGAATCAACAGATGGAAGAGTTCAATGCACAGGTCAACGAGGTCCGGGACGAAATCAGCAAAGTCGTCATCCTGAATGACGAGACATGGGAAGGACTGAGGTGCCGGATATGTCCATCATGTGCGACCGCGATCCCCACCTGCTTCTGCTTATGCCTGGAATGCGAAGCACAACTTATCTCCATCGGAAGGTATTACATTCACATCAAATCCGATGACGAGGAGGACAACCAAAACCCCAACGTCTCTGGAGATGCCAGGCGTGCACAGGAAGAAGCTAACCACGATGCGGCAGCACAGGAGGATGAAGACGAAGCGGAGGAAGTTCCGGGAGAAGATGACGACATGGACACGCAAGGATATACATCCGGCTATGCGTCAGAAGAAGAAGACAGCGGTTGGCATTACCGCGACACCGATCTGGCGTCACGGGACATTATAAGTTCCCAACGGATGGCGATCTGCCTTGACGAGCCGCGTGAGGCTCAGTACATGGCAGGATTTATCGCACTCCAGCTGTCCAAGATGTGGGGGATGTTCGAGGGTGGTGAGGAGAGAACGATGAATGCCAAGCTCGAGGGGAGAGAGGGCTGCCCTTACCACAATGATTTCAAGAGGTACCCCAACATCACTGAGCACGATCAGGAAGGTATACTTTTGCCATCAACAATAACGAAGATTTCTCAATCGGAGAATGTTCGGACAAGAGCCTTCCGATCGGTTGAGGAGCGTGACGAATATATTCGTATGATGGTGTGCAAATGCGAGGGACTATACACATTCTACAAGCTGTGGATTGCAGCAAGAATCCTCGATGTCACCAAGGAAGAAATGAAGCTCCTGGTCAAGGACCGAGTGCACCCGGTGGGTGATATTATTTTCAGATGTTTTGCACTAGCTTTCAACTGTAAGTATATATCATTCGTGAGGGATGGCCTGAACCTTGGCAAACATGGTTACACGGTCAACGTGAGCGCCATCATCTCGGCCGTCGACCCGAACAAATGCGACACACCCCTGCTGGATTGGTGCCTTCGGAAAGGGCACTGGTTGCCAGAGGACTACAACAAGAAGTGTGTCCGGGCACGAGAAGCTCAGAAGAACTTGGACGAGGAGTTCCGTCGACGCACTCACAGACTGTCCATTGGGGACCGGTATGCGTAGTGAAGATGCTGATTGCGGCACGATGTGGGTTAGTCCCCATCTGTTGCTTGCGTCTCATCAACACCATTGCGACGGAACGACTCTACATTATGATATGATTTCATATATCCAAGTTGAATGGATGTGTACATGGTTACATACTCCGACGACTATGACGCTCTGGATATTCATGGATGGAACTATTACCTTATAGATGATATCTTTTCATTATTTATGCATTGTCCATGGTATCTGGAATGGCTATGATTTGCATTGATTACTCACCGATGTTTCTTTGCCGGAGATATGCAGACCGATCACAAGCGGGCGCGTCTGGTGGACTTTTGTGGCCAACCCATTTATGGATGACAGCTGCGCGATGCGCAAATGCGGCAGCTGGAATGTTCACTGGCGGTCAAGTGAAGTGGCCACATATACACCTGCATATGGATGTGTGCTTCGATTGGAGGATGAATGTTTCACTTTTCGTACAATCGAACCCGGCATGTTTCACAGCGAATGAACGGTGTAGTGATAGCAAGTAAAAGAATGCACGACACGATTTCGTAGTTGAAGCCGTGGCCAGTGGAACGTTTTGTGGTGTTTGGACCGCATGATGAACAATGCGACCCAAATGGGGGATGTTAAAACCCTCTAGGCCCCGTGCCAAAATTGGGTAGCTGTTCTGAGGTCCTTGTTGGTGTTGCTTCCCAAGTTCCATTGATCGCCATTTGGCTCAAGACACAATTGAGGTTCAAGATCTGATGTGTGACTGCATACATACGTGATCGGCATTGAGAGCGAAAACACTTCGCTTGCGCTGCATTTGTCAGGACCACTGTTGTAACTATCATTCCTTCTCCCTTACAACGTTTACACGGGTTCGGCTATAACGGCATCGTCCGTATACACCTTTCTACGTGGTTGGTATTACAGCTTGAGGGTTCGGTGCATAGCGTCCCACGGGACGTCACCTTGCCGTCTCTTGACACTGAGCAACTTCACGCTTGCTTATAGGCTTAAGCGTGCATTGTCACCCATGGGTTTGTGCACTTCACAAGAGCTGCTTCCCTGATTTATGCCAAGATGCAGGATGCTCCTTGCTCTGCCACGTGAAATGCCTTTGCCACGTGAAATGCCTGGCCCAACTTCACGCCTACTGTTTGCTGATTGCTTCCCGTCCTTGCAAAGTGAAGGCTGTGTTTGGACGATAGGATGTATGGCGCGTAACGACCCTGCCAGCAGATAACTTTTCATTTTTTCTTTCCGCCAGCCTCCGAGTTTGTTGGGAGGTCAAAGCGAAACCTCTTGAAGACACGGAAGGCGCTAATGCTTTCGCTGCTGCAGGCGGGCACGCGGGCCATGTTCCAGACGCCTGCTCACTGCAGAGTTGTTGACGCCTGTTTCAAGCAATTTGTCATGCACACAGCTTTTGCAGAGGAGCGAATGAAAGCAACACAAATGGACGCAGAGGCGTTTCTCTGCTGATGGTCCCTGCTTCAGGCATGCCTTCTGAGAAGGAGCTCCTTGCCCTGGTTGAGAGCACAAAAGGCCAGACTTGCGTCCAAGCACTTGGTGGGCGGTTTCGGGATTTGTCGCTGGCGAGGGGGTGCCTTCGCACATTGGCCCGGGCGTGGCTGGGGCTTGAACTCCATTGTCTGGGCTGGATTGGTTTGTGCTCTCACACATTGTCTGGTGGCTTGCCATTTTTGTATTGGAAAGCTTCACGGACGATACCTAGGAAGGAGACTTATATAGCACAGACTGAAAAGACCGTTTTTGGCTCTTGTGGAAGATGGTGCTCCTCTCAAGTTTTGTGTCTTGTCGAGCTGCGATTTGAGCTTTTCCCTACATGATTTGTGTCCATGTGCGGGTGCCTCCTGCTTGCTATCGCCAGGCAGCCGGAAAAAGCGGAAGGCTGGCCAGGAGACTCGCAGCAAATGGTGGCCCGTCTTGGGCCCTTGAAACGGTCGACGCGTCCCAAGTGCCACTCGTGCAAAAGGCTTTGAGCATAGCATGCAACCAACGAGTATCGCACTTGCCACATGCGTTTGATTGACCATCGGCCTCCTTTGGTTTTTTCAAAGACTTTAGACCTCTCTAGCTGACCCGATGCTTGTGAGTTCACATGCTGACCTTGCGAAGCGGCAGGAACTGCCGCCTGAGCTGCAAGACGCGGAGATAATCGGAGGGACCCTTGGCTGAGTCCATGGTGGCTTCTAGGTGGCTATCAGTTTTACTGGGACATACTCTCAAGAATAGTTGGAGACCTTTGCAAATGAGTTATGCATCGCCGTGGGGCGAAGATGTGATGGCTCGTGGGGCGATTCGCTCCGACGCGCGAACTTGTTGTGTTTGGTTCCCCAGCTCTTTGTTGCATTTTGGCAACGCTGGCAACGGCACGTGTCACGAGCTTGCCGTGGCTTTGCCCAAAACCTGAGGTCCTCAGATGTGGAGTTGTCGGACTCCACTGAGGATGAGGATGAGGCACCTTCGAAGGCCTCCACCTGGTGTCAGGGACTACGTCCTTCTAGGGCGCTTTCTTGAACCGCCTGCGCAGGATTGGTCCTTTTGAACAGGGAGTGGCCAGCGGCATGCGAAAAGAACTGACGTGTTCGGGGTCCCGACCCTCGTGAGTCTGGGCCATTGGTGACATGACACAGCTCTGCTCCTTGACAGAGACCGCCTATGCTCCCCCCCCCCTCTCCACATCTTCGAAGAACAGCGTTCACAATTGTGTTGCATTGCTGTTTGCAGGCCAAGGGAAAGAAGCGCAAGGAGCGCAAGGTGGAGGAGGAAGAGCCGGAAGTCAAAGAGCCGAAGGCCAAAGCGGAGCCTGAGCGAGACTTTTCTGAAGTTAAGGGCTGCGCCTTTGTCATTTTAGGAAGAGGGTGCCAGAAGCGCCATGCGTGAGGATCAAGCGGCCGGAGGGACGGACAAATCTTTTTGTCTCAGCTGCCCTTCTCCGTGGACGCAGATGTTCTAAAGAAAGACTTCAGCAAGTTCGGCGAGATCAGCCGCTTCTTCTTTCACCAAGATGAAGAGGGCAAGCCTCGCGGGACGGCATGCATATTCTACAAAGACCCGGACGTGCCAGACAAAGTTATATTGCTGGACGGCATTGAGTACAAGGGCCGCAACATCAAGGCTGGGCATGGAGATGTGTTCCCTTGGATTTGTTTGCTTCCAAGAAACTGTTCAGGTGCTTTTGCTTTCTTGGCTTTGTCCTAGCTTTTCGTGGCTTCCATAGCCTCACCAACTCAAAAACCCCAAGCCAACCCTAGGCTCGCAACAAGCCAACCCTAAACCAACCCTAATCCCAACCTCAAACCCATCCGCTGGTGATGCAGTCGTTTCAATTTGGTGCGGGTTGATGCTTGTGCGCTCCCAAAACAACAAAAAAGTAACATCCAAAGAACGAATAAGCAAACCCGAATTGATTCTGCCCTTTTGTCGACCAGGTGAAACGTCGGCAGCGGCGGCCAGGCGGGCGGCAGGCGCGAAAGGCGCGGGAGAAGTGGGAGAAGTGGGAGAAGTGGGAGACGCAGGAGGACACGGAGTGGCAAACGCCCCGTGCCAAGAAGGCGGCGACAGAGAGTTGAAAAAGCGTCCGCAGCGACAGGTGCTGCCGGGTGGAGGGCCAAAGGCACAAATACAAAGCAACAAAAAATGAATGAGCAAATACATAAATAAGTAAATGCATATGGCGCTGGGGCTGGCCCAGTCCTCAACTCGGCTGCCGAGCGCAGGTTTGGCCTCATAGAGCTTTGTTGCGTTCAGGGTTTCTGTAGGCCGCAGGATGCAGGGGACATATGCGATCTGCGAGGGGGCAGAGCGTGCCGTTTGGAGGCTCGCGCAAGAGAGGCCGCAGAATTCCTTTGCCGTTGCTTGGCACGGGATCAGGGCCAGGGCTAGGGCACGTCGGCGTCCACAGTCTCTGATATGTATGTAGGTGTATGCAGTTTGTTTAGCACTGGTTGGAAAAATCAAGCTGATGATTCTTGAGAGGAGGGTCAGGCAACACCATTTTTCCGCAAAGCAAAGAAAGGGCGGCTCCGTCCAAGGCCATGTGCTCAAAGTGGAGATTCGTTCTGGCAGCGGTCGTGCGCTGGCTCCTGCCTCAAAGGTTGGGTGTTGTTGGCTGAATCATCGGCACACTGGCTCGGTGTCATTCTGCACCAGCGCATCGGGCAGAAGGTTTTTGTTGTCAAAGTGCAGATGCAGCCAGCTGGCATGAAGCGCTTTGAGGAACCTTTACTTTAGAGCCTCCGGCTCAGTCCGCCGACATTGTCCTCTCCCTTTTCTCCTTCTTCCTCTCTTCCTTGTCTCCCTTGTGTGTTCTGTCGTCCTCTCTCCCTCCCTCTGCTCCCATCCTCCCCATCCCCCCAAGCCTCTCTCTCCCCAATCTCCCTCTCTCGTATGTATGCATGCATGTACATAAGTATGTATGTATGTATGTATGTATGCATGTATGTATGTATGTATGTATGTATGTATGTAATGTATGTATGTATGTATGTATGTATGTAATGTAAGCAAGTCAGTAAGTAAGAAAGTACGTAAGTAAGTATGTATGTATGTATGTAATGTAATGTAATGTAATGTAATGTAATGTAATGTAATGTATGTAATGTAATGCAATGTAATGTAATGTAATGTAATGTAATGTAATGAAATGTAATGTAATGTAATGTAATGTAATGTAATGTAATGTAATGAAATGTAATGTATGTATGTATGTATGTATGTATGTATGTATGTATGTATGTCTGTATGTATGTATGTATGTATGTATGTATGTATGTATGTATGTATGTATGTATGTATGTAATGTATGTATGTATGTAATGTATGTATGTATGTATGTATGTGTATGTATGTATGTATGTAATGTATGTAATGTATGTATGTATGTATGTATGTATGTATGTATGTATGTATGTATGTATGTATGTATGTATGTAATGTAATGTAATGTAATGTAATGTAATGTAATGTATGTATGTATGTATGTATGTATGTATGTATGTATGTATGTATGTATGTATGTATGTATGTATGTATGTATGTATGTATGTATGTATGTATGTATGTATGTATGTATGTATGTATGTAATGTATGTATGTAATGTAATGTAATGTAATGTAATGTAATGTAATGTAATGTAATGTAATGTAATGTAATGTATGTAATGTAATGTAATGTAATGTATGTATGTAATGTAATGTAATGTAATGTAATGTATGTATGTATGTATGTATGTATGTATGTATGTATGTATGTATGTATGTATGTATGTATGTATGTATGTATGTATGTATGTATGTATGTATGTATGTATGTATGTATGTATGTATGTATGTATGTATGTATGTATGTATGTATGTATGTATGTATGTATGTATGTATGTATGTATGTATGTATGTATGTATGTATGTATGTATATGTATGTATGTATGTATGTATGTATGTATGTATGTATGTATGTATGTATGTATGTATGTAATGTATGTATGTATGTATGTATGTATGTATGTATGTATGTATGTATGTATGTATGTATGTATGTATGTATGTATGTATGTATGTATGTATGTATGTATGTATGTATGTAATGTATGTATGTATGTATGTATGTATGTAGGTATGTATGTATGTATGTATGTACTGCATGTATGCATGTATGTATGTATGTATGCATGCATGTATGTATGTATGCATGCATGCATTCATGCATGTATGTATGTATTTCCCGCAAAAAAAACACGGTTTTTCCAGCGTTTTCGCAAAGAGGACGTCCAAAAACATTGAGTTTTTCCAGATTTTCGGCAAAAGGATGCAGGAAGCCCAAGCCAGCAAAAAAGCCGGCAGGGGGAATCGAGCCTGGGACCCCTGTTTTGCGACACCGGCTCCCCGAAGACTACGTTTAGTGGAACGTCATCAAATTGCCCCCCCCCCCAACAAAAACCTACGTAATAGACGTCGGGCGGGGGGGGGGTTAGGGGGGGGGGTTATCCTCTATCCTCTAGTAAGTATCCGACACGCCGAGCAATGTCGGCGGATATTATATATATATACACGCATCTTATATGTACATGTATGTCTGTTGATCGTAGCGTGTTAAAGCACATGCACCTCACACCTTGGCCGCCTTGAGCCTTAGTACATTGACGGCACCGAGTTGATGCACTTGCAAGTCCCCCACACCAGGTAAACAGGCAACGCAGGTCGTTCCACTCCAACATGGCAGCGGCGCAGTGAACAACAGTGACACGCACCCACACAAGGAATGGCTCAACAACAGCAACAGCAATAGCAGTTGGAATGCACTAGTGCAAGATAGCGCCACCGCGACTCACGGGAGAGCGCGCCACATTTGAAGAATGGAAGCCCAAGATGGCAGCATGCCATGAGATTGAGCATGCAACGGGGCAGGACCTCCTGTAGCAGCACAATGGATGCAATTGATAGCAACTTACACGACATCTTGGTGTGTACATGCGATGGACCAGCGTGAAGAATATGCCTGCTACGCCTGAAAACATCCATCCCGCTTGGTGCAAGCAGCGTTGGGCACTTGACAGGGTTTCTCAAGCCACAGCTCGCGATAGAAGGCTGAAGAGAGCTTCACAACATGGGAATTCCAGTACGCCAAAAACGAGCAGGACAACGCGCCACATTACCGGGTCTCTGAAAAGGACTTAATACGTAGGACAGCTGCACAGGCAGCAGAGTGCGTTGGATTGACGACAGTGCTCAGGGTTCCACGGACATCCTGAGCGCATCAGATGGGATGCGGCGCGGCGTCCCAAACTTTGACAAGATCAATGAAGTGTGCGGGAGCCACACCAAGAAGTGCGCGGGCGCAACGTGGCGCCATTATCTTGAGATGGTGGCGCAGCGCAGCGGGAGTCCATCACGCCGGGTGAGGAGATGTAGACACATTTCTTTTGTCCGGTGCGGTTTGGCCGACGGCTAGGAGTATCGGCCTGCAGGGCGAAACAGAAAGCAGAGCTGAAACATCCTTACACCATTCCGCGCGATTAGGCCATAGGACATGTTTGGCTTGATGAACAACGTTAATCCGAGGTGGGATGATAAAGTACACACTTCCCCCCGAGAAAACAATGTGTCTGCGGCCCTTCACGTCAGGCTAACAAGCAACGCAATTCTTTCCACCGTAACATAGCGCAACCCACTCCCAAAACGTGCGTTGTTTGCATTTGTTCGCTTGGGCCAGGTCACCATGCCTTTTCGATGAAGCTTGAAAAGAGATTCTGAAACCGCAGAGGGTTCCGGTGTCCTTCATGTGTTTCACCACCGTCCCCTCGTGCTTGTGCTGCTCAGTTTCGCGGTGTGTCATGTCCAAACCTTCCTGGGCATCGCTCCTGGCGGAGCTTGTGAGGACAACCTGCACCCTGCCTTGAGACAGCGCATGGCCGGAGACTTATGGCCACAATGAACTTGAGTCAGCGAGCCCAGGGCGGAGTATGTTTTTTGTTTCACAGACGACCCCTTGGTCCCAAGTCCTTGTCTGCTACAGGTTGACGCTGACAAAACCCGATTCCAGCTCTTTTTTCCTGGTCAATGCACTTTAACATTTTGGTGGTGGTAATGCCCAAAAATGATAGCGGCCCGCATGGCCAAGCTTGGGAGTGGCTGAAGTCTTCAAAGTCGCCTGGGCACGACCCAGGTCCGCACTTCCAAAGCAATGCTGCTCGGCGTAAAAGGGTTGAGTACTTGGGCTCGGCTTCCATGCGATGTGCGATCGGCTGGAGAGGCATGCTTGGGGGTCATAGGGGTGGTTGCACCACATCTCCCCACTACTGTTGAACAGTTTTTGCGGGACACGGGCCTGCCGTCCAATGCCGTCGAATGTCCAGACGTGTGCGAGACATGGCTGTGGCTGTTCAATTCATAGTATTGACAGGCCCGCAGCAGTTGGTTCCCTTCCAAGGAGAAGTTCGTACATCTTGTTTTCACCAAAGAGCGTCAGTTCCCCTCACGAGTCCACCTCCTTCTGCCTCCTTGAGGCAGAAAAGAAAAACGAACAAAGAAACCATTGACTGAGGACCATCCGCACTCTGGACCGCGGGGCGGCCGGCGGCCCAGCTGGCAACTCCATCCCAACAAGTCATGGGGCCCTGGCGTCTGTGCAGCGTGTCCCAAGCTTCTCCAAGGTACTGCTGACACATGGCGCTGAAAACTCAGGCGTTGTGCATATCCTGCGGAAGGCGCTCGTGCTTGGACAGTTTGTGGGAGTGGCAAGTCACAAGGTTCGCCGAGGTCTGATTGAACCCCTATGAGAGTTTCGTGTTACCTGCCAGAGCTTTTTGCATTTTGCCCCTGTCAGGGTGCCTTGGCGTATTGCTTCCCGCCGGAGCGGAAGGAGTGCAGACCTTGGTCCATTCAGCCAACTTCGAAATCACTGGGCTCGCCCGTTTGTCCACTCAGGGAGCCCGCGAATCGTTGGCACCGCTGCGCGGTTGCCTCCATGAACCCTTCGCAGGCGCGGCGTGTGTAAGCGGGAGGGAGTTAAGACACCTTTGGGCATGTCACCGAAGCCTGCGATGAAACAAGATAATACCTGTTTGTCTCCCGAGCTGCAAATAGCAAGCTCAACTTGGGCAGTTTCGGATTCGCAGCTGAGAGCTTGTCCTCCAGGTGGTCACCACACTGGGTGAGCTAGTGGGGGCCTACCATGCCCTTCTCGGCGAGAAGGAGCCTGTCGAATACTCAGAATTTGTTGGGACAGAGCGGGGGTCCAGCCCCTCGGTGCTTGGAGCGTTTAGTTGGCGGATGCCGTCCAACCGCATGCTCCCGTTCCATCGCACCAGGCCACAGTGCGGGTGGAAAGCGCCAGCTGCGAGGTCTACCGCATTCCTTGGGCAGGGGCCCGGGAACGGCGTGGATGCTTTGATCATCTTTGATATTGAGCCTTTGCCATTGAATTGAGCGGCAGTGTGCCCAACCAAACCGAACATCCCACATCCGTTTCACGGTCTTTTTGTGAGCAGCCATGCCCCATTTTCAGTTTTCTCGTCGACCATGGCCTCGGCAGTCGGGCTCAAGAGGGGCCATGGATACGATGGCCGCCGTGGCTTCCAGTGCGGCCTGGTGGAAGGTAGGAGTGACGTGGTGTCAGGCAGAGCTAATCAGGTAAACCTCTCAGCTGGGCTTGGGCTCTCGCGCAGTCAATAACCCTTCCTCACTCTTCCTGGCAATGGGTCATGGAACCGGATTCACTTTTCCAGGATTGCCCTTGTACGTTGTGGCCTCTTTCACCAAGGCAGGCTGTGCGCCAGCCCTGCTTCGGAGCCCAGAGCCACAGAGGCGGTGAGGGGCCATTGGTGCGATCCTCTGAAACATGTGACGCATGGTTTTGTTTCGGCTGCTCAGAAGATCACCCGACCTTTGTCAGAGGTGTGCAAACGCAATGGCTGTTCACGGTTGCCTCCTTGCCCAGGGCGGCACAAAACAGCACCGGCATGTTTTGCCTTCTGGCCGGCAGTTTTGACGCTTTTCCTGGTAGTGCCTGCTATCGGGCTGGCTCTGTCTCAGCGGGACAGCTCTTTAACAAATTAAAAACCAGATATGGAGGCTTCAGGAAGGAGAAACAAGCTGGGATACTCAAAAGAATCATCTGCTTGGCGTGAAGAAGGCTAATCAAGCCTTTCAGAAATTCCGGTCAGGAAAAAATAGGGGACTTGGCTTGCAGAGAACTGGGTGCGGCCGTTTTTTCGGAAGCCCCTCTAGTTCCTTTCCTAAGGGAGACCAACAGGACACCAACAGACCCAATCGACGGCGGGGAGACATAGGCGAAGCTGGGCGCCTGGTAGAGCGCTGGCACATGCACCTGCTTGGCCCGCCGCCGGCGCTGCCCTGGTGCTGGGGAGCCGCCGCGTGCTGCGGTCAAGGCGCGATGGGCATCCGGCGTGCTGAAAGCCTTCGTTTGAAGGGGCAGTGCGGCCAGCGATCATGTGGCATTGGAGAAACGGGGGTGCTGTCAAATGCAAAAAGCTTTACGCAACTTATTCTGGGGGTTACCTGCTTCGGGGCAGAAGCGACTGACATTGCGTCCTCTTTTGCAACAGGGGGACAGGATGAGATGGTGACACAAGCCCGCTGTCATACGCCCGATTCTCATCCCAGTCCTTCAACTGTCGCTCAGCAGCGCACGCTTTTTCTTTGTTGGGCACGGCGTGGCACGGCCACGACGGCAGCCGCCGCAGGAGGGCGGCTTTGCACGCCACCCTGGTGAACTTGACCAGAAAGGAGCTGAAAGAGGCCACGTGGCGGGATGGGGGTGGTATCCAGACGAGTTGCTGAGCACGTCCCCGGCAGTAGATGCTAGGCAGCCATTCCGAGCCGGCGTTAGTGTGCCTTTGGTTGTTGCACTTGGCTAGCTTCTTGTGAGTTGTCATGTTTTCAAGGTGTGATTGTTTTGCTTTCCCTCGGGCTTTCTGCCAGTGCCACTCATACGTTCGTTGCTTGTTGCTTTTTGCTGCGTAGTGCATTGGAAATGCCGCTCAGGAGTCTGGTTCCCTGCTTTGCCTGCTTGGGGCGGCAGAGTTGGGAGTAGTGAGAGCAGGTTTTAGACCCTGGCTGGCCACATTCCAACTTTTATACGCAGATTGCTTCCTTCATACCCCGGAAGTGCCGTAGCTTCGACCGCCAGGAAGTCGACACCAACGCCGACCAGGCCGCTCGGGACAGTGCCGGCAGAGCATGGCTCCAAGGAATGTGACAGTGAGAGGATATTTTGGCATCGGCTCTTGCGGGGTTCTTAGGTTTGGTCAGCAAAAATCGGGCCAGGTGGGGGCTGTAGGTGCTCAGGCTGTTGGTGGTGACTGGCGGTACTTGTTCTGCGCTGCAGTCAGGGAGCTGGTTGCAATGCTGGGGTGTGCGCACGAACAAGCATACGCCGGCATGAAATATAGAGGTGCTATGGATGTATAGTCCTGAGGATGGTGCTGTTAGTTGTTTCTCTCCTTTTTTTTTTCTTCTTCTTTTTTTTTCCTCGTTGATGCTTACATAGTTGAAACAAAGAAAACCGCACGGTGTGACGTCAAAGATGTGAGAGCCGCTGTCCTAAGGCTGTAGACAGAGGCACGCACAAATTTCCGTCCGGTGCGCCACGCGCAGGAATCCGTGCGGGAAGCGCGCACAGGAATCCGCATAAGAAAGTGTGCGGAAACACATGGGAGGTACGATGGGAATAAGTGTGGGGGACGTGTGTTGGAAGTACACACGGAAACCGGAAGGAGGGCGAGGTGGAAGACTCGCGCGCAGGAGGCGTGGCGTGCAGGAGTGGCGATTGCAGGAATACATGGCCTTGTGAGCCGTGCTGGGCTGAGCGGTTGCCGCCGTGAAGGAGCGGATTGATGAGTCTGGCTGGTGGACGAAAGTAAGGAGCGCCTGCGTGGAAAGGCCGCCGGATGCGTTGGGTAGTGGCTGACGCTGGCGAAAGAACTGCTCGCAACGCAAAAGAAGAATCGGGGGGCGGCGTTTGTCACGCCCGGCTTAAGTTTCCGAACGCGATCCGAATACCCCACATGGTTTCTGGCAGCGGACCATACCCATCAAAAGCACTGGTCAATCAGATTTAAGCATGCCGTCGCCAACTCGACATTGGTTGCGCCACGCTGCAAATCAAGAAGTGTCCAATATTTTGCACATGAACTTTCTCCAAGTCTCATGTAGCAGCCGTGGTCAAGACTGTTTGAGCAATTTTACTTAGGGCAATTTTGTTGAGACCCGGCAGACGGGCGAATCTTGTTGGGTGCCAACGGCACACCCGGGAATGCCCGCAGCGCTGGCACATGTTTAGCTGTTGGAAGCGGTGCCGAACTCGTTTTTTCCGCAGGCGTGATGCATTTTCCGGGCGTGCGCTCGCTCGTTTGCGAGCCGGATCGGACGTCGAAGCTGTTGGGAGGCAGAGGCGCAGCCGAAAGCGACCACCACCAGGGTTTTGCAACTATGGCAGCTTGGCTCCGTGGGCAGGGGGGGGGAGGGATGCATCAAACAAATTGGGCTATGGGGCTGTCCCATTACACACTGTAGTCCTTTTTGGATCGTTGAGGAGGGATGATAGAATGAGCTCGATCAGCTGGAAGGGTTCTCGTCCCCCCTTCTTCACTCGTTCCAATGGGTCGATGGGTTGAAGCCTGATTAGATTGCAGTACTGCTAACTTTTTGCGCTGAAGAAGCATAGGATTTTCACCAACTTCAGCCATCACCCCCTTGTACCACGTGCAGCCGAGAGTTGACTTTGCTTTAAAGCCGGCATAGGGTCAAACGTCAAAAGCGGCCAAGCACCGAAGGGGACCGCCTTGGGGGTTGCAAGGCCTGGGATTTCAGACACTATGGCGCCTCGGCTGAATCGCCGGCTGGGGTGTTGATTCAGAGCGATATGTTGAGGTCAGCTTCGGAGGTCTGCCCATCCCGCAAAGCTGCTCGGCTAACAGGGTGCGGGTGTCACTCGCTTGGGAACATGTCAAACTGTGGAACCTTCATTTAATTTTGGTGTAGTGCTGCAAAAGTGTGACATGGTCATTCAGGAACGCAAGCAGATACTTCTTTCCGGCCAGCTTTCTTTTGACCAGTCGGCTGACAAGCGCATCCAAGGGCTTGCCGATGCTTTCACGGAGCGCGGCATTGTGCAGCCATCGGGCGTCCAGGAGAGCTCGGGCGGGCAATTGCACGGGCTGGCACAGCCTGCACTGCCCCTTTGAGATCAGAGGCAAGGTCGGACCCAAACAAGGTCAGGCACAATCTCAGCAGGGAGGTGCGTCATAGAGCGGTTTGAGCAGCTCCGGGAAGGATTTGGGTCCGGGCAAGTTCTGAGAAGGTTCCGATTCCAGAGAAGCTTTGTGGGCATATTCCTGGGATTAGGCCAACAGCTTTGGGCCCTTGAAAGCCCAGACCAGGCCCCACCAGCAGTAGTCACTACAGTCACTAAAGGGCCATGCCTCCACAATGAGGCGGGCAACACAGTGGGCCAGACTGCAACACGCGCATGCGTCGCGCGGCTGCGGCAAGGAGCTTGTGATTCCGAAGATTGCGGAGGGGGGGCACGTAGTCATGCACGCTCCAACAGGCCCGCATGGGCCCGAGCCGAGAAACTTGGCGGGCAGCTTCTCGTTTGGATGGCTTCCTTTCAAGCGGCTCCCCGCACAGCGCCAGGCGGGGGCAAGACATTGGCGTACCTGCTGCCAATGCTGGCGAGGCCAGGCGGGTTGCAGAGGGACACTTTGCGGTCTTTTGCTTGGGGTGCAGGATCCGATCCCTACTACACCAGGCGATCATTTGGCGGTTTCTCAAGGGAACGTTGCAGGTTTGTTGCTTTTCTTTGTGGTCAGAGTGCCTTCCTTTTTCTTCAACAAGTTTGCGACTGGATCCCTCGGCGGGATATGCAGGATGGTGCAGCCCTTCCTTTCAAAGGAGCCTTTTGAAGTTCTGAGGAGAGGTCATCCAGTTTGAGCAGAGGGCAACATTCATCTTCCATGTCTTGTGGCACCTGTAATGCTGCCGGGTTTGCCGTGGTTCAGCGGTGCAGGTTGCAGCCCACCATGCATGTTGGAGTTCAGGCGCGCGGGCATGGTTGGTTCTAGATTCTAGTCACGAGTCGGCGGGAGGCTCTAATCGGTAACAGCTTGAGGAGTGTGAGAGAGGCAGTGGGTGTTTTGCATGCGCCGCGACCTTGCGGCATGTCTGTTGCATTAGCCCAACCGATTCCAATGAGTGAGGCACCCCCAGTCCCCAGGTTGCCAACCATCCGATGTTGCATTTTCCGCAGTTGCAGGCGCTGGTCTTCGTGCCCACGCCGGAGCTGGCCTTGCAAGTGGCACGGGAGCTAAAATGGCTCATTTACGTGGCTTGGCCAAAG